GTATCACTGTCACAGAGGCACAGTACAGTGTTACGTATATGTTATATTACCTTCTCAAAAACGAGAAATTTTACATGATATTAGATTGACAGTCTAATAATGATTGTATGTGTACGCATGTCTGTAAATACTGTTATTATTAGAAATTGTCAATCTAATAAAATATAAAAATCTTGTTTTAAAGAGAAATGACTTATCACTATCTTTCCTTACGAAAAAGAATTACTGGCAGTAATATATTGCGGCAATGATACAAAAGAATTGGCATTCTGTATAATTGCCAGTAATATTCTCAGTGATTCCTGTAATATCTAATAATGTTCTGTAATAATATTCTTGAGTGATTGTCAGTAAGTAAAAATTGGAAAAGAAAAGTTAATTGTGCTCATCTTTTATTCCTGTCCATTTGGATTTTGTTACTTTGCGTACAAACAGTAGAGAGATTAAATCTCTCTTCTTCACAGATATTAAAAGCGTAAAGTAAGTTAATAATTACTTCTAAAATCACTGATATATATGTATATTTCTTGTAATATGATATTGTATATTTCTTGTACTATGTTTATACTTTTGGAAATTTATAATATTACAAAGCAAAATCATACTACGTGATTCTAATTACTGGCTAGCAGCAATATTACATATAGTATGTGACAGTGGTTGTCAAAGCGGTACTTAAACTTTTAAAATCGCAATAAAATTTAAATATTATATTTTACTATCATGTATTGCTGAACTGATTTCAAAATACTTTATCAATCAAATTGTAGAAATAGATAGGCAGTTCAAACTAAAGGCAGGGTGTTTTGCCGAATAATAAATTCGAGAAAAAGAATCCAGACGTTTCAGCTGTTTATTAAAGTCATTGGTGGAAAAGAGAGAGAGAAACTTGGAATTTATAACAGTTTTTCAAATCAAAAGAATTAACGATGTGGTTTTATAGGAATATTGAATAAATGGTCTAATAAAGTAAAGAAGATGAAAAGTACTAACTGTCAGTGTCGGTGTTGACGAGTTTAATGTTGACGATGCTTTCAAATTAACAGTTAGTACTTTCATCTTCTTAACTTTATTACAAGACTATTTATTCAACCAACATGTTTCTGTAAGACCACATCGTTAATTTCTTTGCTTTGAAGGACTGTTACAATTTCTAATTTTTTTCCACCGATGATGACTTAAATAAAAAGTCAAAACGTCTGGATTATCCTTCTCGAGTGTATTATTTGGCAAAACACTATAGCAAAATCCCTGGTATAAATTGCTTTCTTATTTTTGCAATTTGATTTTTATCGATAAATATCAAATTCTGTCACTCTTCACATGATTACTCAGCACATTATTACTTAGTAAATATGTCTTTATAACATTAATATATTCACTTTTTTACAGCGTAGTGATTGTATATTTGTATGTAAAAGTTTGGTTTTTAAATATGTATAGTGCACAAAACAGTAATATTGACATTTTTCCTTTTTTTATTTTGCAATTATATTTGCACTTGTATGCAATATTTTTATGTGATACCTAACAATATATAATTACCAAAGATACACTTAAAAAGAGACGTGTACTAAAGATATAACTATATTAATGATACGTTACTTACCTGATTACATAACTACATATTAATGAAAAAGTAAAATGCAATATATAGAATATCAAAAAGAATTTATTCTCGCTCGTAATATAAAAATAAGTAATGAATCTAGGTAAGGTCATAAACGAGCAATAAATGGTTGTTAGGAAAAATATATATATATAATATAATTATCAGCTTAATAAATACAATAAAGCTTTATATGAATAAC